GGCATGTTTTTTTATTGATGAAGGAAAAAATCTAATGCGCAATTGGTTGGTGGTGGCTTTGAGGTCGGATTTTAGATCATTCCAGATATTAGATGTCCGGATCTCGGACTAGTACTGTATATATATATATATACATCTTTCAAAATATAACTTACCAGTATGGGTTCACTCTTTTAAAATAATTCTACTTTAATTAAACTTAGGAGATAATAATCAATTAATTCAATCCTGTTTAGGAAATAAATTATATATATATATATATATAAGTAAAAAATGTATATTTTCACTATTCAAGTATTCACTGTGACTAGTATTCTTATCTTGTCACATGAACAGGCCTTTGTGGAAAGGGGCTTCTCTGTAAAAAAGCAATTGAAATTGAAAATTTAAGTGACTCATCATACATTTTTCAACGCACAGTATTTGATTATATAAAAAATTTCTGGAGGTGGTCTTAATATCGAAATTAATAAAGAAATGAGAGCAGCAGCAGCTTCTGCAAGAAGTAGTGGAGTTCGTTATTTAAAAGTTCAGTATTTAGAAGAACAAAAATCTTTAACTAAATCTGAAAATTCAAAGAGGAAAAGAAATATTATTGAGGAAGAAATTGATTATATGAAGCAGAAGAAAAAATTTCTTCAAAGGGACATTAAAGATATTAATGAAGAAGTAGATGCTTTAGCAGATGAAGCTGAGACCAGCATGAACATTGATTTGTTTATTAAAGCAAATGAACTTAGAAGAATAGTTAAAGAAAAAGAAGATTTCAGATTTAAAAAAAGAACAAATGTTTTGTATCTTTTATTGTACAGTTTATTATTCTAGTATCTTTCAAAAAACCAAGGAAACAAATTGTATGTTTACAAATCAGTTATTTTAATCTGCAAAATATTCTTACATTGTGATTATAATAGTAGTTGACTGTGTTTAAGTAAATATCAAATAAGTTAAATAATAATCATGTAAATCTCTAAAATAGTGACTGTTATTAGTGTAAAATACACTTATACATGTTTTTCAAGAAATTATGTTCCTAATTTAATGTTATCTACTTCATAACTGGTAGGGAGTTAGTTTAATTTTCAAAATTGTTTTATGGTAAGTATTAAATTGAATTTAATAATAGTGCATAATACACATTTCTGTTAGTTTTTTAAAGTGAAATTACAAGCATGAAGTCGGTTGTATGGATAATTGCTTTATTCTATTCATTTTTTTGTTTGCTGATAGGTCCTTAATTTTTTCTTTGATTGTCCTTAAAAGTCCTTAATTTTCATATAAGGAAATGTGTACGAACCCTGTTTTCGAGTAATAAACTAAATGATTTAATCCTTCAGCAGCTTGTAAAGCGAACTGAGATCGTTCATGACCATCAAATATTAAACATAGTTTAAGACTGTTTTTTCTACTTTTTTATATGATTGATTTAAATAAAAATGCATTAAAATCATGAGATATCTAATCAGAAATATAAATTTTTTTTATAAAATTACACTAGCTGGACTCATTAAAACAATTAACTACTTCTTTCTTTTTTATGATAACTATTTTTGGAGGCTCGCTATGCAAGAGACTAGTTTTTAAATAAATAATATAGCAAATATACACTGCTGGCCACCGTAAATGCAACACCCTGAAGGAAGCATGCAAATAATATGAAATTTACAACATGCATTAGCGGAGGTGAGATATGAATGATTAGAATTTCAGTGCAGACGCACATCATGTGCGCCTGTCGCGCCATTACTTCAAAGCAGCTATTTAAGGCTTGGAGTTTTCGATCGATTTAAAGTTTGGCAATTGTGTTTTTCTTGTGGTTTTTGAAAAAAAAAAAAAAAAAAATTAGATCAATCGTATGCAGCTTTATCATCGTTTGATCAAAGTATCCTGAGTTCGACAAAGAGGAAGGATAGTGGCCTACCAAGAATGTGGGATTATCTTTCAGGGAAATCAGTAGTTATGCTGGACGAAACCAAACAACTGTAATGCAGATATGTGACCTTTGGATGCAGGAGGGTACGACGGGCCGACGTGTTCGATTGCATCCACTTCACGTGATGACAGGAACATTGTGCGCATGGAAGTGACGGATCACGCAGTCACATCACGAACCAGAACAGAGCACATTCAGTCTGTAATGCATAATCCAGTGTCTGCGCATGTCATTCGACGCCGTTTACAGCAAAGTGGTCTGTCCGCAAGGCGTCAATTGCTTTGTCTACACTTGACGCAGAACAACAGACGTCTCCACCGCCAATGGTGCATCGAAAGAAGGATGTGAACGGCAGAATGGAATGAAATTTTCTTTACTGACGAGTCACGCTTCTGTCTGCATCACCACGATGGTCGGATTCGAGTCTGGAGACACCGTGGAGAGAGGATGCTGAACAGTTGCGATATACACCGCCACACTGGTTCTGCACCGGGTATTATGGTATGGGGCGGTATTGGATATCACTTTCTCACTCCTCTAATATGCATTGCCGGTACTTTAAACAGCCAGCGCTACGTCTCTGAGGTATTGGAGCCAGTTGTCCTTCCTTACCTTCAGGGCTTGCCCACAGCCATATTTCAACAGGATAATGCGCGACCACACGTGACACGCATTGTTCAAGGGTTCTTCATCAATCGCCAGATTGAATTGCTTCCCTGGCCGGCTCGCTCTCTGGATCTTTCGCCGATAGAAAACATGTGGTTCATGGTTTCTGAACGACTGACCTAGTGTGGAAGCTGCTTGGTCTGCTGTATCCCAGAACACATCCAAAGTCTCTTTGAATCAATGCCAAGGCGTGTGGCAGCTGTAATCTCGAACGATGGCGACTACTCTGGCTACTGATTCTGAAAGGAACCACGCTTCACAGAAGTCTATAAATTTAATCATTTGATACTTGGTCAACATGTTATCTACTAAATAAATTTTTTTGTGATAGATCTCTTGTCTTTCTTGGTGTTGCAATTTAGGTGGCCAGCAGTGTATAGAAATACATGGCAACCCTTAACAAACGAATTCCTAAGATATGCATGCTGTTTTTAAATATTTTGTGAGTTTTCTATTAAATTTTATGTGACGTAAGTGCGAAGAACATGATGTTTAATAAATAAACACACAAAGTTAATAATAAAAAGAAAAAAAGTTTTGTAAGTCATCTCAGTAGAATACTGATATAATGAACTGAGACTGAAAAAATAGGAAAATGTTATGCTAACACGTAACACTGTATTGGAAATTCAAAATATATGTTGATATTAAAAATTTATAATTTTGCTGTCGAATTGTACATGGCATGATTGCGAAGAAAGCGATGAAGATGAATAATAAAACTAAAAGGCCAAGAGGAAAAGTGTTAGGAGTGAGTCCAAGAGCAGATTGGCAACCTAAGATGCTTACGAAGAACATAAAAGAAAAAAAAAAAAAACTTCTCAGATGATATTAGTCTGAATCCTTTCAGATTTTTTTTTGATAATATAAATATTTTTGTTTCTTTGTGAGGCTGCATAAAAAATTGTGTTGAACTCCACCTTTGCTGCATAATGGCTAAGGGTTAAATTCGAACAGAAATGTACAAATTATTGCTATACAACTTCTATAGTGATTATGTTTTCCTTCAGAAAGTATGGATATCTGTTTTACTCTTCAAATGTCTTCTTTCTACATTATTCAGAATGAATTGTTTTACTGCTTTTGCAATATTTTGTTATTTTAATCCGGAATTCTTTTCAAAAGTTACATTTTTGAAAAGTAGCAATTATAATTTCTTTTAATTAATAAAATGTTTTGATCAAATAAAGAATTGATATAGACTTTTAAATAATTATTTGTTCTAATATATGAACCTCAAATTAAAACTACAAGTGCCCTGAAAAATGTTATTTATTTCAATATTTGCTTTTCATTTCAATTACCTATACATACTGATGCATTAATTATTAATTTCACATAAATTTCAACAAATGATTATTTTTCTAGCTTTGTTCTTAATGTGCATTTCTAGTTATTTAAGAAAGAATTCTAAGTCAATAATTTAAGCAGTCTGAAAATTTCTGTTTTATAAAATCTGATCTTAAATGTAGAATGTTAAAATGCATGTATGGGAAGTCTTTGACGTGATAGAAAGTTATGCATAAAAACATATCTATCAAATGCAGTCATGTGACTTTTTGAAGTGACAGAATACATCTTTTTATGTAAAGGAAGTCAGTTAATTATGATTTATAAGAAAATAATCTTAAAATATACTTCAAATAAAAAAATGCTTTTTTTGAGACATAAGAAAAGGAAGTAACTTATACTTCAGTTTTTATTTATTTAAAGGAATTAGAGAGTAATACAGTTTTGTTTAATGTTTCATGTTATAATCAATTGTCATTTAGAACGAAGACTTAATTGATACTTCCACGATAGTTTGCGTGTATTTATATGTGTCTGAATTATGAATACAAAAACTATCAAATTAATAACACAGTCGATAATATCCCTTTAAATGGCACACAAGTAGATAAGTTATACGATTGCTGGAAAAGACAATGTACTTATTATTTTTGGCTATTGAGCCTAGATTTGTCTTTAATGCATTTAATATTATAAATGCCAACCTATTTTCTTCCTCAATTAAAGAATTTATATATCACACTATGATTGTTAAGTGAAATGAACACACATTTGAATTATATTTTATGTTATTTATCTTAAAGGCTATCAGCATTAAGTATAATTTAACCAGACCTTAGATTTATCTCTGCTTTTTTTTAGCAAAATAAATTTACATGCACTTTTTGTTTTTCTAGATTATCTTTAAAAGCAGAATGGCAAGGTCTTCATGATGAAGAATTGAGTATTAAAAGTGGAATTCCAAAATGTGTTTTTGTGCATGCAAGTGGGTTCATTGGAGGTAATAAGACACGAGAAGGTGTTATGAAAATGGCTTTAAAAACATTAGAAATTGAATGATAATAATAACTTTTTGTAAAAAATATACAAATAAAAAAAGAATTAAGTTTTATTTCCTTTACTATAAAAATCATATTTATTTCAATATTGATAGTCGAGTGTTTTTTGAAATATTGTAGGAATATATGCAGCTATACTTTTAAAGGACAAAATATTAGTTTTAATTTACAACAAGAATTTCTACTTTAACAAGTGATTTAATTCCTTTAATGAATATTTTATTTTCGAATATTTCACAAATAATTAGGTAATAACTAATATACATTTTAAAATAAAGTATTAAATAATGAAATGTGGAATATTCTGGGAGATTTTCACACTTTATAAGTCAGAACTTTAAAACATGATTACATCAAAGTTAAAGAAATCTAATTGCCAAAAAGACTTCCTCAAAAAAGATAGCATTGTTCCATTATTATAGGAAAGTACTTCTGATAACATTTATTGTAGCATTATGCATTTCTTGAAAACATCAAGTTACTATCTATCTTAAACTATATCTTAATGTGTATAAAATATAGTCAAAATTATGTACAATAAATATATAGACGACTTCCAAAATTATTGCTTTTATATATAATAAATAAAGCAGTTTTGTGTGTTAGCTTCAAATAGCTGGCAAGTATGAATCATTAAATCTTTAAACATGTATTATTTATTTATTTTTCTCGCATTATTTTCTTAGCTCTTAATTTTCAGAGAGATGAAAAGTTTCAGTTTATAAGTAATTTTTTCAACATTTTGATGATTTTTTCCTTCAGGAAATTTAGTAAAAAATATGGCAAAGTTTTTTAAAAGTACTTTAAATAAATTCAATTTTTTAATCCAGCATATGTAAGAAATTTAATTTTAAATACATATTTTATATTAAAATTACTATACAAGATCATTTATCTTTTGATTTCCATAAGTGACTGTAACGATTCACATCAAAATCATCATCTATCTGTTCTTCATATATTATCTTCTTTTCTACTTTTCTTCTGTTCAAATGAATCTCCAATTCTTCTGGAGTTAATGTGCTTGTATCTAAAGGAAGCTTTTAAAAATAAAATAAAACTAATAATAAAATTTACATAATACTAAAACATAAATTACAAAATTACCTCTCCATTTTGTTCTATCATCAAATACCAGTAACAGAATAAATAGTATATAAGTAATTCCAGAAAATTCATGCAAGGAACTGAATTTAAGTAACAACCTAATTTAATTAATTTTTTCATATTTGGAATGTAACCTTAATATCTGAAACCAAGATAAGTGTGTGATTAAAGTGAAGGGGTTTTTTTCTTTCTTTTTTTTTTTTTTTTTTTTTTCTTTAGCTTTATAATTCATAACAATTTTCTTAATGTGAAACATGTACAAATCATGAATGAGTAGATTTAAACTATCAGGAGTGAAATCAAATAAAAATGGGAGACAATTAATAACCAGCCCACAGATAATAATGTAATTATATTTACTACAATTTAACTTTCTGATATTTGTTTGAACATTATTGATATTGTGTTAACTAAATTTTAGTTTCTCTAAGCATGATTTTATCCATAGTAAGAAGGAACATGTTATGCCCAACAAAAATAATTTAATATAGCAATGACTTTTTCTAAAGGTCTTTATGGCTAAGAAAACATTTACACACAACAACAACAAAGTATTAGGAGCAATTTGTTTTATACTTTTGATATATTTTTACAGATAAATTGCTTTAAAGAAATTTTAGTTTCAGAAAATTCATAACAGATTTTCTGGTTTAAAATGTGAAAATTAATTTTTTTATTCAATATATAACAACATAGTAATTATATCTTACTTTTACAGGGATATGTTTAATCCTATAACACTCAATAATATCTTAATTTTCATGATGTAAACAGGAGTTCATTTCCCAATTCAAGTGCTTACTAATAATCAAAACATTCATTTATTCCTGATTTCAATTTTTTTTTTTTTTTTTTTTTTTTTTTTTGCATTTCTACAGTACATGCTTTTGTGTGAAAATTTTATCATTACCTTATTAATAGACTTTACGATGCTATTGCAAACACTGAAGGAAAGTTCAATATATTGTTATATCATTACAGAATAATTACCCTAAATTAGTTATATACAATTTTTGTATAAAACTGTGTGAGTTAAATAAGTGTGCTTATGAGGAACTTTTTAATGGAATTTATGTGATTCGTAAAACGTTTAGTCCATTTTCATGAAATATACTTTATATAAGTATAAATTTTCAGCCCAACACAGAATATGTTCAAAAGGAGTGTAGAGAGAATATATAATACAGCGACATCTTAGAAATCTACAAATGTGATACATAGATATATGAGTGTATATATACATAAAATCAAGTATTATGCTGTCATCAATTTTCCTATGAAAGGACAGACACTACCGAAAACATGCAAAACTGATTTTTAAGAATACAGTAGACTCCCGATTATCCACACCAGCCGCACAAAAGTTTTTTTTTTTTTTTTCAAGCGTAAAGCAAAGAAAATAAAAATGTTCACAAACCTGAGCGAAACGTTAAATTTGCTAACATCATGCTTACTTATAGCAAAAATATCCCAGGCATCCTCAGAACCTTCCCCTCTGATGAGTAAGTGATTTCTTACTCATCTTTGCGGTGCCCATTCCAACGCCGCGTTCTCTCATCTTAATCTTACTGACACGTCGACTTCCTCCCACTCGCCATCTCGCCATTGTTAGTTTAAGCCTGATAGTGTTTGCGAATCGGTCGGAGTTAATTTCTTATCTTTTATTGTGTTCAGTGCTTGTGCTTTTTGGTTTTGTGTTTTTCATTACCAATTTAAAATGTCAGGAAAACTCAAAAATATTGTTCTTTTCTTCAGACTCCCTTTCAGCCATTCAAGCAATTTTTGCACATAATGTTGCAGAATAAAAAATGATTGAATCTTGCAGAAGAACGCTTTATCTTCTACTCTCAAAAGGGATGATTGTTGTGGTACAGTGGATCCCAACACATGTTGGAATTACTGGTAATGAATGGGCTGATAAACTAGCTAAAAAAAGGGAACTGAAATTTTGCAATCAAATAATAGTGGGGTACCTTTTACATCAATGAAAAGAATAATAAAAAATATCCCGAGAAAAAATTTTGAAGTTAAATTACTTGAAGGAATGGAAGTGGGAGGATTCGATTTGTAATATCTCAGACTCTCCCAGATCAATCACAGTTGTGGTGTTTCATTTAGAGACCAGATATGATATTCTCGCTAAACATCTGCACTGCATTGGTATCTATGGTAGTCCCTTGTTTACTTTGTGGAACCAGAATTTTGAGATGAACAGAGATAATTTGCTAAAATGTTCCTCAATGAAGGAAGAAAACATATAGTCAATATTGGCGGGCTAGAGAGTTGATGCATTTGACATCGAGAGACTAATTATTATTATTATTAATACAATGTAGTCACTTGTTATTCCATTTCCCAGTTTTGATGTAGTTTTTATAATGAGGTTAATTAATATTTTGTCTTTTGTATTTCTATTTTTTATTTTCATGTTCCAATCTCATATATCTTTGATGCATGGGGGCCAATGACATAAAGTGCCTTTGCAATAATAATAATAAAATACAAAAAGAAAAAAAAAAAAAAAAAAAAAAAAAACTAACTAACTAAAAACTGCACTAAGATGAGATACTCCTCCCTCAGAAAGCCACTTGAAAGAAACATAAACAAAAACACATGTGCATAAAGTGTGTATTTTAATTATGGCAAAGCACACGAGGGCTTTCTGCCTAAGGGGAGAGATGCCTTTGTGGAGGACTTTCTAAGGGAAACTGGCTCGTATACACGTTACACATGGGGAAAACCACGAAAACTTTTTCTGCAGTTGCTTATGGACAAACTTTAGAAGATTAAGCAAAGCAATCAATGAAACATGTGAAAACACTGCAGACAGGTGCTGTTTCACCTGCTCTATGATCTCAGAATTGCCACATACCAAATTCTATTTAGCCTAAATAATTTTATTTATTTATTTATTTATTATAAATTAATTTTAGCAGATACATTATTTTAACATATAAATGTTCTATGATATATAAAAAATTCTGAAGTCAAAAAGTAGCAAATGAAAATGATGAGTAGCAAAAATTTTGTGAAATCATACGCATATGAATTTTATCTCACAGGTTTGTTAAAAGTAATAAATTTGTGAAAAATCATACAGTCTGGCAACCAGTACTTACTGATGGCTGATCAAAGGACTTTCTCATGAACTTCCTTGAACCATCTCACTCATTTTTGCATTTTACTCTCCCCATACACTTCTCTTATATGGCGATGAATATAAGCAGCTTTCCTGTATCTTGCTGTTTAAGAATTGTATTGTAGAACTGATTGTATTTTACAACCAGCAAGGAATTAGATTTTCTTAAACATTTTAACCTCACACTGCAAAGTGTTCAAACTGTGCTTGAATATATGTGGCATAAGATTTTGCACAAACAATGTCAAAAACTTACTCACTTATTCTTAAGCATGCGTGAAATTTCAAATGGTATTTACAAAGAGATCTGACTTTTAAAATAATATATGTACATAAATATCACTGCATTAGAGTACTAAAATCTTGGAATTATTTTCAATGTAAAATAAAGTTCTAAAAATTTTTCATATATTACAAAGTGCCTAAAATAAATAAAAAAATTCTATACCATAAAAAGCAACACAACAAGGCATTAGCTGAATAGAACAAAATTGCATATGCCTTTATCTGACGACAGATTATGCAAATGATAAACTTTTGGAGGCCGGTGACTGACTAGCTAGAGTCGTTGTATGAAACAGGCTATTCCAATGGTAAGACAAAACTTCCATATAAATGTGTTTCTGTCAACTCAGGTGAACAGTACCAATGTATCCCAGATAAGTTCATGAAATGTATGTGCAGTTACCATTTGAAAGAGGATATGCAATTAGACTAGGGGAAGCAGAGTAGTCAAATCACAGGATTGCTAGACATCTGGATGGAAGTGATGCTGTCAGAAATGAGTGAACCTTGGCTGTAAAGAGCATCAAGAAAGTAGCAGTCAATGGAGAGTGATTACACAGTCGTGGTAGTTGAGTTAATGGCACATAACCAAAAAGGTTATATGGTCCAAACACAAGGTAGTTTATAAAAAACTTTCATCCCAAATAAATTTTATAAAACAGCAAATAGCGAAGTTATAAAATCTACATGAAATAATAAAGTGGTGAACACTAAAATGAATAGGTATTAAAACTCAGCAAATGATATGCAGCAAGCAGTGAAACACATTAAAATTACACTATAATAAAAGCTAAATAAATTAAATAATAATAACCTGTTTCTTTCAGGTGTAGAAATAAAATTTTTATTGGTGATTTATTTCCTGATTAAGCGATGACAGTGATTGTCTGATTGGCACTCACAGCTTCCGATGTGTCCTTATTAATGGTCTGACTGGGATACCAGCAACTGCAATGACCATTGACATGTGACTGAATGAACAGAGGACTGAAGTCACGGCAGCCACTGCTCTGATTGCTCTTCAAGACTGCACATCACCAAGCATGTTTGTAGAGATGCTGGGCCGAGGCCCAGCATCTCTACAAGATTGTATGCCCTGTAATGTTGCCCTTCCTTTAAAAGACACCTGGGCTTACATTTGAAAAGGATAATGCCTTACTGTACATGGAACACCATTCTATTGCTTGTCTTTGTGCTTCTCCAATTTCTTTCCTGGCCAGTGCAATTGCCAGATCTCTCCCAAATAGAGCACATTTGAGTTCGGATGAGCAGGCATCTCTGACCATCTTTGGATCATGGCAATGTAACTAGTCAGTTGGAATGTGTATGGCAAGCAGTCTTGCAGGAAAACATCCACCAGTTCTATGAGTTAATTCCCAACCAGATAACAGCCTGCATCAGAGTCAGAGGTGAATCAACAAATAATTTATTTTTTATTGCTCTTGTAACTGTATTTCCTGAATAAAACATTCAATTCTTATCATATTGTTAGCATTTTGTTTTTAATACATGCACATCACATCTATTATTTTCATCCAATTTGGACCAATCCTTGGTGCATTGCCTTTTTACGTCATAGAGTGTATGATTATATCAATCACGATGAATTTCACATTAATAACTTAAGTTGCACTAAATAAGAATGTATGATTGCAGGCATTGATATCAAAACAACATATCTAAATGAATTTTTTTTAATAAACAGAGAATCAGGAAGAACAACAAAATCCATTTAGAATATTTTAAACATTCAAAAAATATGACGAGGGAGAGATAGTAAAACTTTCTTTAGTAACGTAATTAAAAGCAGCACACTTACCTTAATGATTTTTCGTGGTTCATGATATCTGATAGCATATGATGATCCATCAGGATTTACAATGGTAGTTAGATACATTCTGCAGTATTTGTCTCGACCAATTTTGACTATACATGTCATATTTGAGTTATTCCTTACTTGTGAAAACAAACTAAAAAGCTTCCTGCAATATATAAAAGTTAACAAATGTAACTAAAAGATGAGAAAGAATTCTTGAACAATTAAATAACAAAATGTACACAAATTTGATTATAAACACATTACTGAGTAATCTATGAGATCTATAATTATAATGAAAATATGCATGTCTTTAAAAAAGAATGAGAAGCAGAAATGTTAAATACATTAAATCTAAATTTTATAGCAAAAAAAGTTGGGAAGATATGATGTCTATGACAACATGAATCACATTATAAATAACAGTAGTTCACTTGACAATATAAATCAAAGGTAGTCAACCTTTTTATACCTACCACCCACTTAATTAGTAACTGAATTTAGTATGACTGCAAAATAATGTTTTGAGTGCAGGTTGAGTAAAAAATATATAATTAAATTTATCCATTTATTTATACTTTGTGTATGACACAGACATAATTTATAAAAAAAAAAAAAAAAAAAAAAAAAAAAAAAAAAAACGGAGCCATATAAATATATGGAAACATTACAGTGCAGCAGGCATGGGAATGGCCAAATAGAGAACTTTCATATCGGTATATTTGTATACATCTGCATATGGGTGAATGTGTTTTGATCACCTTCCTTAATTTTCATCATTGGATGAAACCCTCTAACACCCACAATGATAATTTAAATAGCCCACTAGCATCCCTGATATAAATCAAGATAATTTACAGCAAAACAAGTCACATGGTAAAGCTAATTGACTTTATATAGAATTGTCATCTGCTAATACATAAATTATGAAATAATTTTCCCAGATTTTGGGCTAGTTAGACTAGCATCCTTTGAGGATGATGCCATAGAATGATTTACAGCAGTAATTGTAAAATGATTTACAGCAGTAACTGTTAGGAAGCTGTGATACATTTCAAAACTCACCAGTCGCTATAGAGCAGATGTGAGGAACACTTTTTACCATGAGAGACCACATTTAAATTAAGTATTTTAGGAGGCCGCATAAATTGATATACCTCCTGTAAAATTATTATAGTTTTATTACTTTATAAACATTAAGTCATTTCTTAAAATAAAAATTTACAATACAAAATAATTTTGCATTCACATATGGCTAACAACTTATTATAACATTAATCTTTAAATTTTTAACAAATAAATAATAATAATAACAAATAAATTTTTAACAAACAACTACAGTAAGACACAGCTTAACGCCAGTCTGTTTAACGCTATTTCAGTTTAACGTATTTTTATTGGAATAGTGAAATTCCCTGAAAATTGCACGTAGCACTGGGCTTCCTCCGAATCAAAAATAATTTACCTGCATTACTTCTCTAGTGTTATACAAAACACATTTTAATTATTTCAATCATTTATTGCTGTTATTGTAAGTATAAGTTTATGTAATGTAATGATTGATATAGTGATAAATATTACAATTTTTAGTTTTTAATATGGGTAATAATAAGAAACACGAAAATAAAGCAACAAGAAAAAGCATTTTGCTAGAAACTAAAATGCATGTGCTTATAAGATTAGATAGTGGTGAACGTCAATGTCAAATCGGTGTTGCATTAAACTTTTCAACTTCAACAATAAGGACAATTCTCAAGAATAAAGAAAAAATAGTGTCATCAGCAACTACAACTATAAAAACCTCTGAAGCTATAATAACCGTTCTAGAAATCATACAACAGAGGAGCTGGAAAAACGACTTTCTATATGGATTGACCACGAAATTGAATGTAATATGCCACTAAGCCAAGCTATTATAATGGAAAAAGCAAGAAGAATTTTTAATCACATTCAGATTGAAACAGGTGACACAACTGAAACTTCATTGCAAGTTGAGGATGGTTTAATAGATTTAAACATCAAAGTAATCTTCATAACATACAGATTACATGAGAAGTAGGTGGAGATATAAAAGTGGCAGCTGAATTCCCAGTGACATTAAGAACAATAACTGAACGAGGAAACTATTATCCTCTAGAATTAGTTTTTAATGTGAATGAAACGGGCCTATTTTGGAAAAAAATGCCAAAACATAAATTTTTATCTTGTGAAGAAAAACATGCACCAGGATTTAAAGCTACGAAAGATCACTTGACACTTCTCCTGAATGCTAATGCCAATGAAGACTTAATTTTGAATTTAAAGCCACTTCTTGTTTATCATCCCCAAAAAAACCAAACAGCTATGAAATATATATCAAAATCAACTTTACCTATAATTTTGAAGTTAATAAAAAATCATAGATAACTAAAAATTTTCCAGAATTGGTTCACTGAACATTTTTGCCCATCTGTTAAATGCTATTGGGAAATCAAAAAATTTGAATCAAAAGCACTACTTTTAATGGATAATGCTCCAAGACACCTAAAGAATTTATCTGACTTAATAACATGTATTCCAGTCGAAGTGTTTTTCTTGGCATCTAGCACAACTGGATTAATCCAACAGATAGATCAAGGTGTTATATCAAATTTTAAAGCTTAATACCTGCTACCAATTTCAAACATTTGTCCAAATGTTTGAAAAAAAAAAAACAGATAGTGAAGATAAACAATGAATAAGAGATTTTTCGAGGAACTATAATAGCATGGATGCTATAGAAAACATAAATCTTTCTTGAAATGAGGTAATGGAAAATGGAAAAATGTTTGAAATGAATGTGGGAAAACATTTGGCCAGATTTAAATAAGAATGATGACACTAGAGATTCTGTTGTTGATATGAACAAAATAATGGAATTAGCGAAACAAACAGGTTTAGATGAAGTAACTGTAAAAGATCTTGAAGAAATTTTGCAAGAAACAGCAGAAAGTCTTTCTAATGTTGAGCTGAAGGAATTAGCAGACCAAGAACATCACAAAAATATTGAAAGTAGTGATTCTGAAAAAGAGCAAAAAGAACTTTCTACAGCATTTCTAAAAACCAGTTTGACCACGATAACAGAAATTATGGACCAATTTATTGAAAATGACGCACATTTTAATAGAAGTTCAAAAGCAAGACGGGATGTCACGGATGTCTTGTCCCCTTATCAACAACTTCTTATGGAGTGCAAAAGAAAAATGCAAATGACATTAGATATCTTCTTGATTTTTTTAAAAAAAAAAAAAAAAAAAAAAAAAAAAAAAAAAAAAAAAACCTGAATGATCTAAAGGATGGAATTTTACTGTACATATATTTAAATACTGTTTCAAATAAAAATAATAAAGTATTTTTGAATAAATTTATTACACTACAAAGAAAAACAATAGAAAATTAATATTAAATTAAAAAATAAACAGCAACAGTATGTTAAATAATATTAAATTCCGATGGGAAATTTAATTTAGTGGGATATCTGCATCTGTTTCTTGCCTGGAATTAATTTAATATTTGTATTAACTTCCTAACACATAGCCTTAGTAGATCCTCTAAATCAGCATCTGTAATTAGCATTCTTAAACTAGTTTTAATTTTTGTCATGAGAGAAAATGTTGTCTGGCAGCAGTAAGTACTTCCATAGCAGGAAAAGTAAAGGTGTGCATCCTCTTGTAGGCATGGATATTCAACAACATTTTCCCAGATTTCTAAGGGGTCCTTTCTTAGCGTCAAAAAGAGATTTGAGGATATTAGCTTCTTGCAACTCAAATAACTCTTTATAGTTCCATAGGAGCTTTGGATGTGGTTCAAATGCCAGTTCCATAGCAGAAGTGTGCTCGTCAAAGTCTGAAAATCTAGCAGTACCTTCTTCTTTTAAAAAAACTCTAAGACACCTACATGTTCATTGAATGTTTTATTTTGACATTTTTGCTAGCTCCGGGAAGTGTTCTGCAGATATATCCGAGCAAGAGAGCAATGTTTTGAAAAATATAATTTTTTTTTAAATGCTTGGATCTTTTGCCACATTTCATATATATGCTTCATATTCTTGCAGATAAATATTTAAATTGTTTTGTTTTGTCATATTATGAGAAAAAATACAGTGTTTCTGCAAAATGCTTCATCTGATAGATCACATAGTTTACCCTGTTCTCGTTAAAAAGTTAAAACTTTTATCAAAATCTGTCCTGTTAATAGCCAGTGAACCCTGTAATAGTACGATAGATCAATACTGTATGTTTCCTCATCTAAATTTAGCATAAATTTGAAACAACGCATTGCATTTGTGCAAATATAGTTGACAATCGAAATAGTTTTATCCAGAGTGTCTTGTAAAATGGTTATTTTTGTGCAAAGATTTTTCTGATTCAAAATGCAGTGAAATGATATCAATTTTTCAAGTTTTTTTTTTAATAAAGCAATGAATCGTTCTTTTTTACCTCTCATGGAAGGTGGGCCATTGGTGCAGATATTGACTAAATTACTGACATTTAATTGAAATCGATGGTATACCTCTCTGAAGTTTTTAAAAAAATGTCAACTCCGTGAGTTCTTCCAGTTAGTGTACCCAGTGCAAGAAGTTCTTCGTAACATTGAAACTCTTTTGTTAAAGCATGAATAAAATACATGGTGAGATCGAAAAGTAAGGTGACTGATGTCATAATAATAACTGTATTATATATTTACATACAAATACAACACTTCCTTCAAAGTAGTTCCTGCTGTCTATAGTACACTTCTGACAATGTTCATACAAATTTTGGAAACTTTTAAAAAAGTCCTCCTTACAGAGTGTGTTAAGTTCCTTGGTAACAGCAGCTTGAATGTCTGAGATGCTTGAAAATCAGTGTCCCTTTAGTGCCAATTTTAGTTGTGGAAAGAGGAAAAAGGTCTGCTGGCGCAAGATCTGGGGAATAAGGAGGGTGAAATAACTCCATAACCTTTTGCTGCAAGGAAACCATCTAACACATATTGCAGTATGAGGGCTATCATGCAACAGAAACCACTTGCTTGATGCAGCAGGGAGATGGGGCCGAACACAACGAATGTGAGCCAGGAGGTGCTTCATAACATTTCAATAAAATTCACCTTTAACTGTTTGACCTTCCAGTATGTATTCTTTATTGATAATTCCCTGTGCTTTGAAAA